TAGCAAACATGAAAAGGCAATACCCAGATGACTGGAGTAAATGCATCTTGAGGAGGCAGTACCTCTGCACAGTGTAACTTCTGTTCAATAAGCACAGGGGCAGATCAGCCAGAGGCTCACTGTCACCTTTACATCCTCCAAACTAGGACAGAACAGCAAGAGTCCCAAGTGCCTCACACTGCCTGCCTTGCTCATCTATAGCCCCGAGACAGGAACCTTCAAAGGAGCCACAAAACATTGTTTCCGTGGCTGGAATAGAAGGAACATTTCGCGTGGGGGAAGATTCTTCAGCACAGCTCCGACCTGTGAGTGCAACAGGGATGTAAAAGTAAGTGGTGGCAGAAGCCACAAAGCCGGGCCTGTAATGCCTTCCTGCAGGTTACAAAATGCTGCTGTTTCATGTTATGCTACAGCAATCCAGTTAAATACAGATAGCAAACTTCTACAGAGACCATTTTAGTATTTAAAACTGCTGAGTGACCTGTACTAGACAAGGGCTGTGCTGCCTCGAGCACTTGAACAGCTCTGACAGCAGCGGGTCAGGTCCTACCCTGCAGTACCTCAACACCAACTGTTGTTATGGAAATCACTTTCATAAATATTTATCACTGCAGTCAATCTTCTACAGAATATAACTGGAGCTGCTTTCAGAAGACCATTCTGGGTATATTTCAAAGACAAGAGTTGACAGTTCTTTGATGACATTCAATATTTGAAGTGTATACATTCCCATCTAGACAAAGCCCAGCCAGCTTGAAGCACTCGAAGTATTAAAAAGAAATCTGTGGTGTCTGGTAAATAACTTCCTCCAAATCCTACTTATAACGAAGCCAACCACTGTATAATTCAGACCCCTAGTTTTGACTCAGCTATTTCCACAAAGCTGTTAATTGGTGGCAGGAGGTGACGCTGAGTTTTCCACTTTGATGACTATCGGGACCTAACAACTTCCCTATGATTCCTGACACCCATATCATGCCATTGTCATACTACTGTCTGATGCATCCCTGGTGACAAAATTACACCAACAAGTCAGATTAATTGTTCAAACAAAAATAACAGGTGAGCAGCCTGTCTCCTCTGGAGCTCTTGATTCTGCTGCTGTAGGTGTGGATGAGCCAGTGCTTGCAGTGTTGGATAAAATCTGCAAAGTATTTCCAGCATTCAAATAAACAGGACTGGGAAATAAAAACAGATAAAGCCAGGCATGAGGGGGAAAAAGATCATACATCAGTATCTGGGGTGAAAAATACCTGATGCCCCCAACAGCGCATGGAAGGAATACTCTGTTCTTCCATGGACTGCATACACCCTACAATCTCCTTACCTTTAACAGTTTGGGGGGTTGATATTATTTGCTGGTCCCAATTTGCTGGGAAATTGTACTAAATGAAGATAAGCCTCATGGATTTTCCCTCAGACATATGGCACTGGATGATAGCATCCATGGAAACCCGCACGGAGGAAATGCTCGGGCTCACCAGCAGGAGCTCCGCTCTCACATCACTTGCCAACACCTGACCCTGCAACTGCTTAAGTCACACAAGGTGGCAAATCCTCATGCACAGCTCTGAAACAAAATTAACTGTAAAACAGGTTTTTAATCTTCTCTGAGGAAACGTGACACTTCAGGGTTTGAAACCTGGCTGAGCACTTCATCCTCCACTCCAGTGACCCAGGCAATCCCGCGCCTTTGGCAGGGTTCATTTCCCCACGGCAGGAGGAACCAATCCCGAGGGAATGACCTGTGCGAAATGGCTGCAGTTATACACAAAAAGGGAACTGTTTAGTGGGGATAAACTCAGCTCATACTACAGGATGCAAGCACTGTTTAATCAAAGAGCAAGGATCAATAGGGCTAGCTTGGAAAGCAGCACGTTCCACTCCTGACAATTCCCATCAATTCACTGGGTGGTCCTGGATCTGTCATTTAAGCTCTTTCTTCCTTGTGTGATAGGGAAAATAGAGGAACAGTGAGGCTTCCTTGCTGTTGTAGCTTTGATCCAAGACTAGATTGTACTTCAGCAGCATTTTATCCAAGTATCAGGTGCAAAGAACCCGTTGCAGTCAGGAAACAAGGCAGGTGCGACAGCAGAACAGCTTTTCAAGGCAGAAAGACTACTCTAAAAGATAAGGAAAGTTTTTAAAAAGAAATCTAAAAATACTTGAAAGTTAACTCAGCTCTTCTGAAAACAGACTAGGAAGTCTCGGCTAGAGGACTGTCCATCAGAGCAAAACCAAAGAGGCTGCAGGTGGATTTTCAGTGAGATCTTGTAGAAGGAAGAAAAAAAATGATTTTTTTTTTTTAAAGGGGGAACTTCATTAAAATTAAAGCATTAACGTTCACACGTAACATTCCTGGACACTGGAGATTCTGCTAATGGGAACAAAATGGCTTTTTCCTGAAATACCCTAAACAGCAAACGGAAAAGCAGCAGTTTTCAACAGAACTAGAATAATTCTAGAGAATCAAAAAGGAAGTAAAAGAAGCCTTACCTCATACATCTGTGGACTTCGAGAGTCCACATAACATATAACTAGAGAAAACCCAAAGGAATTTAAGACATTAAGTATAACTTTAAAACAGTAGCATTTACATTGAGGTGCAACCTCACTTAAATGAAAATTCGTAAAAACCAACAAACCACAGGGTTTTTTTCCTTGTTCTCTCTGACTCGAGCAGCCACCCTGACAAAGTGCTCTGACACAGGAGAAGGGATGTACAAGGAAAACTCATTAGGAAGGAGCGGCGCGTGAGCTCCCGGCCGGATGCGTTTCCCAAAGAGAAGCAACTCAAACACGCCACACGAACACAGCCGCCTGTCACTCAAACCAGAGCAGTTCCACCACCTCCCCGAAGAGCTGTGGTCTGTTTTTAGCCATTGAAGGAGGACAGTGACATTTATTTGACCGTCAGCGGGCTGCTGTGTTTCCCGACAGCATCACTGGAACAATGGCTCTGGAGCGGAGTAAATCCTACGGCTGAAAATACTCACTTTGTTAAAAGCGGGGCAAAAAATTAAGACAAAGCAAGTCAGAGCAGCGCAATTCGGCATTTATAAACCATGAGGCGTTTTTAACAGATGCATGAAGGGGCTGAGGGCAGAGTTTGCAGCTTGGTACGTCAGAGTACTGGACAGATGAGGAAGTCTGTAAGTAACAGTATTTCGACCTATATGGAGCTTTCATCTGAGACAATTCGGGTTATTACACTGGGCTACTTCACATCAAACCCGAAAGCAAAACACACAAAAAAACCCCGTCACTAAACCACGCACAAAACTGCAAAGTAAGCAACACTCTGATCTGCTTAACTAAAAAATGAGAAAGCTCGAAACTGCAAAGGGTTGATAATGGATGCAACGAGTCGGAGGGAGACCGTCAACTTTAATCAGTTGTTTTCCTAATTTATCTAAAAGCAGCTCCAGCGCAGCTGCTGCACAAGGCGTGCGGTCCGGGAAGCGGAGCGGGAAGGGAAGCACCGCGGTCCGGGCAGCGCTGCGGGGCTCCGTGCCCGGCCCTGCGCACCTGACACCGGAGTGAACCGCAACCCCGAAACACACCCCGGTGACCCCGCGCTCACCGCCCTGCGGGGCTGCACACGCGGCTTCTCCCCGAGCATCCTCCGCGGGGAGGATCCGCTACGATCCAACAAACCCTGCACTGTCCGGTGCAGGTAAAAGCAGAGAGGCAGCTCCTAATTCATCGCGTGGAACTCTCCAGAGCAAACGAACCCCGCCCGGGCACCCGGGCACCCCGCCCGGCCCCGCTGCTCCCGGGGAAGGGGCTGCAGCGCCCACCCCGCTCCCCAGGGAGCACCCACCGCCGGGGGGGCAGCGCCCAGCCCCGCCACAGCCGCGGGCAGGCGGCGAGCCCCGGCCGGCACCAGGAGAAGCGGCGGCAACGCTCCCCGTCCCGATCCCGAGCCGTCCCCCCGCCCGCCGGGCCAGGCCGGGCGCTCACCATGGCGAAGCCGGAGAGCAGCGCGGAGGTGCGGCTGGAGGCTTTCAGCTTGGCGCGGCTCAGGTAGAGCTTCCGCCAGGACAGCGCCTGCATCGAGTGCTCGTTCAGGCTCATGGGCTCGGGGCGGCGGGCGGAGGGGCGCGGCGGAGCGGGGTGGAGCGGGGTGGAGCGGGGCGGCGGGCGCGGCTGGTAGGAACGGAGCGGAGCGGGCCGGGCCGCGCTAACAGCCCATGGCGGCGCCGCGCTCTGCCGGGCCGGGACGGGGCCGCGCCCGCCGCGCGCGCCTGCGCGCCTCGCCCTCGGCCCCGCCCCCGCCGCGCCATTGGGTGGCGCGTCCGACCCCGCCCTTCGGACCCGCCCCGCCAACATCTCACTGGCCCGCGCCGAGGGGCCCGGCCCCGCCCCCGCCGCTTCCCGGCAGCCTCGCGGGACACGCCGAGGGCGGGCGGCGCGCGCCGGGGGCGCTGAGCGCTGCGGCCGCCAGGGGGCGCCACGGGCAGGGGACACCGCCCCTGCCCCTGAGGGACCCCCGGCCCTGAGGGACCCCCGGCCTTGAGGGACCCCCGGCCATGAGGGAGCCCCGGCCATGAGGGACCCCCGGCCCCTCAGCGGGTCTCACGGTCGAACCCCCGCGCGTTCTCCCGGTGAGCAGCTCGGTAGAAGCCGGAGTTAGAAATCTGAGGGGTAGGGTTGAATTTGTAGCTCTCGGGGCGGGGTTCGAGCCCCCCAGCCCCGTGCGGGGCCCCTGCACTCGGGGCGGACAGGACGGGGTGTCCTCCCCTCAGAACAACCACAAACCCGGGTCTCAACCCCCTCCTGCTCCAGACTACCCTCCTGAAAAGCTGAAGCATTTAACCTACGTCTGTCCTGGGCTGACAGTCCACCCTCAATTCCAGTTATCACTGATCCACCTAATCCTTTGTCATGTAGTTCAGGTCTTCACGTTTTGTAGGCCCAAAGCTCCCGATAAACCCCTTTTTATCAGCAAGTGGTTGATAAGGTTGATTAAGCAGAACATTTCAACAGATACACATGCCTGTGTTGAAAGATGTTTTATTACCATGCTCACATAAACCCTCTCACCCCCAATTTATTTTTTCTGTGTTTTACAGAGGGTAAAAGGAGGTGTAGAGCAGAACTCCCCAGCTAACATATGGCATAGTTATGAAGATGATTCCTGAAAAAGTGAGTCCATACAGTGCTTCAGCCACACTAAATTTGTGAGTCAGGAGTCAGAAACAAACCTGTTGCTATCGATTTCCAGTAAGAAAAATACAATTCTAACAATAGAAATAATACTGGACCAGTTACAGGCACATGGATGGTCACATAGAGCTGAATCCATGCTAGTTCCACTAGCGACCAAACGCACTGGTTATTTTGTATTGCCTTGACATTTAAAACAGTGCAGATTGTCGTTAACATTTTTGCTTTGTTCCTCTCTTCACACCTTCCTGATTTGCAAGGTCGTTCATTTACTTAAGCACAGCAAAGGGAAGAACAATCTGTTCCAACAAGGTCACTGAATACTTTTCATTTACAAGGCATTCTTTCAAAAAGATGTAGTTGAAGCATCCAAGAAGAACAGTCTTAACGATTTGAAGTCTTCAGAGGCATTCTGAAACTACCATTTATTACCACTTAGATTTGATCTCGTTCCCTTCTCAGGAAATAAACACAGTCGTCTTCTTGTTATAAACAACTTTGGGTGAGATTTTTATCTACAGAGGCTTTAAAACACCTCTGTAGAAGAAGGAGCCTTTGCTCTTGTATCACTGACTCCGTGGAGTGAGGCCACCTTCCTTCTCCTTTAGGCTGACAATTCTGCTGTGTAGGATCCATTGCAGTGGAAGTCCAGCATAAGTTGGTATTTAGGGGTGGATTTTGGCACCGTTAGGTTTGTGGTTGGACTTCATGATCTTGGAGGTTTTTTCCAACCTGAATGATTCTAGGATCATAAAATACTGCCGTTTCTTCGGTGTGCTTTAATTCTTAAATGACAAACAAACAAAAAACACCCCCAGAAGACCTCACCCCACAATCAGCATTTTCTGTGTCCCCCACTGGTGCCTGAGGCTGTCTGAGCACCACAGTGCAAAGTGATGAGTAACAAACCGATTGTGTTTTCTTTATGGCTTTTTCTTGGGAGACATGATAACTGTCAAAAAACAGTAAGGTACAACTCCACATCTCAAACAAACATTTAAGTCTCTGTCATTTAGTTCCCAAGAATCACCAATTTAAAAATATTTCACATTGCTGCTCATAAGCCATGGCATGTTTATGTACATGTACATAAACAACATGGATATTTCACTATTTCTTCTTGTTTCTGCACAAAATTGTGGTTGAACTGTTACGTCACGGGCCAGTACTTCTGCACTAATAACACCTGGGTCTTGATCTGTTCCATAAAAACAGATTTCTCTAAAGAAAAACAAACCAAAACAGAACACCTGCAAAGAGACATAAATCTGAGGACTTCAAGTGTCTTTCTAAATAATTGTATTAAAATGGGCTCTTTGAACCCACTGTTCCACTATTTTTCTGTCCATTATTCTTATTCCTGTTTACTGGGAAAGCTTTTGAAAGATACAGCAGTACTGCACACTGATGTACTGCTGGGTTCATATTTCATTCAAAGAAATGGTATGGAAAAGGATTTACAGAATCAGTAAAGAAATCTCACCTCATCTCCTTTCCCAAACGAAACCCATGTGTCATTTTAAGCTTCAAGCCCCAGTGCTGTAGCTTTGAAATGAGCATTTCCTTTCCTATATGAAATTTAAAACTGGAAAACACAAGTAAAGGGTCAAGCCTTCCTCTGCAACTAAAACACAAGGGCTGTAGCAGTGCACCCTTTTCCCACTTTCTGTTCCATTTCACAGCTCCACTCTGAGGTACAAACTACACAGGAGACATGATTTTATTCCCAGCTCTATTACTCATTATTACACACCTCTCCACTGCCACTCTAGAGTTAGCTGAAACTAAGAGTCAGCCATGCCTAATTAACTCCTAGAAATGCATCAGTGAGTCCTTCTGAAGCCATGCTGGGGCTCAGAGCCGGGCTCTGCTGTCACCTGTGACCCGTGCAATTGCAGAAGGCCACCAAAAGGGTGTAGTCCTGCCCTCTCCCTTCATCTCGCCCCTCTCCAGCCTGTGGATTGCACTCAAATGGCTACTGAGCTTCAGTGAATTGACCTAATGAAAGAAACATATATATTTTTTTTTCCTTAATGGCTGAGTTTTCTGCTGGATCAGGTCACTGAACTGACTTGCCTCGTGGCTCCACGAAGGAAAGCAGGAGGAGTGAGGGATGTACATGCAAGAGAAAGGGAACGGGCCCTTTCAGCAGCAGGCTGTTATTACCCCTAATTAGAGGTAATGTCAACCCATTCTCTGGATCATTTATGCATGAACACAATCGGAGCAGGTGGCAGAAGTCCAAGTTTCTTTCCAGAGAGCCCTGAGAAATCTGTACAGTGTCACAAGGGTACTCATAGTTCTTTGCTTTTCCTGCTAAAAATGTACTTCTGTATTTTCTGTAGGAGGCTGAATAGGTTCTCTGAGCACCCTGTGATTAATGTGATCCGGTGCTGAGCACGCCGCGGTGCTGCCCCCGGCAGAGCAGCTTTTCTGAAACCTATCTCCAGCTTCACAGGCAAATCAGCACTTCCATTTGTTCCTGTTTCTGTACCCAAACCGAATCAGGGCACCCCGAAGTGGAAATCATGGTAGTTCTGCATTAAAAACGACACATTTGAAGTTGCAAAAGGCAAATAAAAGGTTTGTCAGCAATCCCGAGGAGGTTAAGGCAAACATCTCTGCAAATCTCATCCGAGCCAGAGCTTAAAGTTCAGTTAATGGAATTTCTGCAGGGGAAAGATTTGGATTTGTCATATCTAGACAAAATTGTCTTTTAACTTCCTTCATAAACCAGTGAAATAGTTAAATATCTCATCTTCCATCTCAACCCAAGGTAAGGTATTGAATGGTAGGTTTTACAGGATAAAAAATATTTTAAAAAATGTTTTAAGATTAGTTCAGTCTATCCAATGGGAAGTAACTATGTTTTAGAGGTCAGTGGGGTGAAATGAACCCATTTCTTCATCCAGCCTTCCCAAGCACAGCACTTCAGTTCTGGTTTTAGCAAGAGCTCTGCAGTACAAGATTAATTAAATGACAGCTCCTAGTTTCACAATAACAAGGTTAGGATCCAGGCCTTAGCGTGATTAGATCTTAAATAATTTAAGTTACGGTTAATATCCAGCAAAAAAAGTTTTATTGCTCTTTTTCAGAGTTCAGCCCAGCCCTTTTCCCAACAAGCACCGCTCCCTTTCCACAGGATCGATCCTGTGGTCTTCATACTGCATCACAGTGTTGATAAGAGTGGTTTTCCCATAGTTTTGACTGTGAAGAAGGCCAGGTTTGTATCAGCCCTGGGCTGTCCCATTCCAAGTGCTGCCTGATGGGGCCCAGCTCTGGGCACTGCAGGAAAACTCTGGCATGATCTGCTCAGAGGGGAGACCAGCCCCCAGCGCTCATCAGCTAGCACTTGAATCTGGGTCCTGCAGCACAGGGGTTTAATGGTGCTTCTAAATGCTTTTATCCTATCTAATGCAGCTGTGGATATGGATATTCTCATCATCCACAACCTACCTCCTCCCTTTTTTTCCCTAGATCTTTTGAGGCATTTTTTTGGTAATTAATACACAGATTATTTCCATGGTATAATGACCTGTAGTTGACTAGGAATCATTTCTGTCTTAAAGCAAGGTTAAACAAGTGTTTTCTATTTTCGGAGATCTATAGATAGAAATTGTGGTATTTCTGAAACATTTACTTCCACACTTCCATAATGTGCTCTGGTGTTTCCAGGTGTATGTGATGGATACAGTCCTTGATGGGTTTGCTTGATTCACCAAGAGTCTAAGATTGTTCATGTCCAAAAAGGAATATTTAGAAAAATGAGTTGATTTTCTTTTATGTCTCTGTTCTGTCTCTTTTGGTGTACTTTTGTGGAATGGATGGATGATGTGTTTTTTGCTGATGATTCTCTAGAAACATCCATTTATCTTGTACTCTGGCCTCAATCCTACAGATGTACACGTGTATTTAATTTTAAGTTCGAGTAATCTTGGCTGAAAGGTCGAGATATGTATATATCTCCTCAGGATTATGGATTAATAATGCACTTGCTCCAACAGACATCTGGAATCCACACTTCAATATATAGCCTATAAAACACTTCCATACGATAATAAAGTTCAATCATCTGCAAATAGGGAGATGTTAGAGAAAGATTACATGATTTTTCAAGATTCTGCAAACAGTTCTTGGCAGAAGCAGGAGGAGAAGCTCATTCCCTTAAGTTCTGTTAGAACTCTGTCCTCTCCTGCCTTTATCCACATCATGGATCATTAAAATAGGGATCTCTGCAGAGGGATGAACGACAAGGCCTGCAAAGTTGAATTTTAATGTGCTTTACATTTTGCATCATACTCAATGTATTTCATACAGCACCTAGGACGTTTAACTGATTGCAAAAAGCAAACCAGAGGAGCACTGCCAAAGCCATCAGCCCCGGCCCTGGGCTTGGGTACCCTTTGATGTTCCCTTTCTTGGGGGGTGTGGAGGGGAGGTAAAGGATGTCACTTCAGAGAGGAGCCACGCTGTGGAACCTGGAGGCTGTTCAAAACCTGCACTCTGACCCTGCTATTGCAATCAGATGGCCCCAATATTTGCTCAGCATCAATTTGGAGTAGCTGTGAGTGGGTGCTGCAGAAATGAGACCCGCCGATACTTTTAGGAACTGCAGCATCTCCATCCTGCAGACTTTTTGTATCAGCAGCTACTTCATAGCGTTTTTACCTAGTTTTTCAGGGGATTTCTAACTACCTGTTGTACATGCTTATTACAAAGGCAATTTTGCTTTATTTAAGACCTATTTAACACCACCTCTAACCCATTACAGGTTTTATGGCCGGTTCTCACCAGACACGTGGGTGCAGCGCTGGGAGCGGTGCCGGGGCGCGTTACCGCCGAGCCGCACGTGCGGCAGAGACACAGAGCGAGGCCACCGCCACAATAACCCCAGGTCTGCGTATTATAAGATTATTTTCAAGCGTTTGCTACATTCACTCGCCACTCTCTACCCCGGGTTTACGCCGCTGGGGCCGGACACCGGCGCGGAGCCCAAATTCTCCCCGGTTAAGCGGAACCGCTCAACTCTTGGGGCACGTCCCGGGCGCTGCGGTACCAACCCCGGGACCATCCGCGCCTTTGTGGGGCCCCGTCCCCGTCCCCCCGCGGCCGCTCAGCGCCTGCGTGCCGAGCACTCGTGACCGAGCCCCGCACGGCGGGGCCGGCGGCCAGACCAGGGCTGGTACCGCCCCGGTGCCCCGGGCATTCCCCCCCTATCCCAGCCAGCCCAGCGCCGGTACGGCCCCGGTACCCCAGGCATTCCCCCCATATCCCAGCCAGCCCAGCGCCGGTACCGCCCCGGTACCCCCGGCAACCCCCCCATCCCGGCCAGCCCAGCGCCGGTACCGCCCCGGTCCCCCAGCCAGCCCTGAGTCGGTACCGCCCCGGTACCTCGGCCAGCCCCCCATCCCGACCAGCCCCCCGCCGGTCCTGTGCGGTGCCCCCGGCCATCAAAGCCCGCAGCGCCGGTACCGAGCCGTGTCCCCGGTCCGCCCCCCGTCACCCCCGGCCCCGCCGCTGTTTACGTTCCGGGCACTGCGACGCCTGCGCCCCCGCTCCGCACGCAGCGCCTGAACATGGTTCCTTAGGACTTTGCAAAAGGCATCGCCGCCGCCCCCTCCCCTTCCCTCCCCCTCCTCCCCCGAAAAAAAAAAAAAAGTGCTGGTGCAAAATTGCAAAACTTTAGCGAGCCCTGGATGGCTTTTGTTTTGCCTCCTCCCCATTTGGGCCAAAAATGCAGGACAGGAACTGTTGACAAATAAGTGATGAAACTCTCAAAAAAAATGGAGGCAAAGAAAGACTCTGGAAGAAGATTGGTGTGTAGCTGGCTTCGGTCTCTTTCCTATTCGTGCCTTTTAATTGATTTTGCTTAATTGTTTGCAAAGGGAGCAATGCATGCGGGACGTAGGCAGCGGAGCGACTTAGTTTGCAAGCGCGCGGCTGAGGCAGCGGGGAAGGGGCGGAATGGAACCGAGGGAAGGGCAGGGTGGGACGATCACGGATTATTTTTTTTTTTTTTTCCGGTGGGTGCGGGTTTGTGCTGATCCACCGCGCGTGTCCGCGGGGCTGAGCGGGGCGGGAGAGCTGCCGGGAGAGCTGCCGGGAGAGGGGGCAGAGCCGCCGGCGGCAGCCGGTGCACCGGGGTCCCCCCGCTCCAGCGGGGACCTACCTTGTGCGCGGCCGGTCCCCGCCGCCTCCAGCCGCGGCTCCGCGCCCGCCGCAGCTTCCCCGGGGCAGCGGCACCGGCCTCGGCCGGGCCTACCCCGCCATCCCCCGCATTGCTCTCGCTGCAGCCCCTCGCCCGCGGACCCCCGCGCTGTCGGGCGTGCGGGGCGGCGGGGGGGAGCGGGCGGGGGCTGCGCATCCATCGCGGCGTTACATAAAGCGATCTGGTTTTTAAATCGCCGCTTCCGGTGTGACTATGGAAACACTCGGATTATGTAAATACCGAAACCTGGATGCTGGGCATCATCAGATACGATGATTCGCCCCCCTTTCCTTCCCCGGGGAATTAGCTTGTGCTCACGTGCAAAAATAATAATCATAATAAAAATGATCCGCTTGCTAACGAGCGTCGGCCGCCGTTCACGGTTTTTTACGGGATTGCAAAACGCATCGGTGCTGTAGCTTGTGAATTGTCGGCGAGTTACGTGTCCCCCGCTCGCCTTTCAGCGTCAGCCCCTGCTCAGCAGCCCAAGTTTGAGTTTTCCTGCAGCCAAGCACCTGTTATTCCTGCCGAGTTCCGTGTCACGAGATGGAAAAGGTTGTGCATGCAGCTGTGTTGGAGCTTGTTTGGGTTCAGGTTTTGTTCAGTTTGTGTCTTGCCATCTTAATTATTTCCCCCAGAGCGTGTTTATCAAACCCTTTTGCACGATCCGTGCGCTTTCCTCGCTTTTTTTCTTTTCCGGACAATGTGTTTTATTTTGGGGTTTTGTGTGTCTTTTCTAGCGCTGCATCGGCCGGAGGCGGTACGATGAGAACGAGGACCTCTCGGACGTGGAGGAAATTGTGAGCATCAGGAGTTTCAATTTGGAAGAGAAATTAAAGAGTAAAATGTACCACGGGGATTTCGTGCACGCCATGGACGGCAAAGGTAACTCAGCCGGGCCGCGCTCGCCGCTGCCTCCACGTGCAGCTCCGCGCCGGCTTCGGATTTCGCGCCCGTGCCCCTGCCCGGGGATCCGGTGACGCCGCCGGCCCGAGGGGAAGCACGGGGAGGCTGCTGTGCGGGGCCCTGCAGCCCGCACCGCCCCGAGGGGGCTGCCCCGGCCCGTCCACCCCGCACCCGGAGGGCGGCTTTAGCCCCGCCGCGGTGCCGGGATGAGCGCGGTGATCCATGGCAGCTCCCCCCGCCCTGCCCCGCCACCGTGACCCCAGCGCACCACCGGGATCTTCAGGAATTAGGTCCTGGCACGGGAGAGGCCGAAACCCCAGCCCCCACTTAGCCGGAGGTGATTCCTGCTCCCCTTCCGCCCCCTCTTGAATCCAGGACCCCTTTTGCGAAAGGGTGCGACTGATGAGTCTGTTGGCCAGGCTCGGAGACTTTAAAGTCAATAACTTCTTTGTGAGCCTATCATATATTAAATTACAGCGCTGCCCTCCCAAAGTGACTTGCTTTGCTGAGGTGACTTGAATTCCGGAGCGGTAAGCAGAGCCAGACAGCCCAGCTCTGCCGCACGGCTCCCTGGCAGGAAGGCAAACGGGAGAGCCCGGGAACCAAACAGGCCGGGGGGGTTGCAGGTCACCTTTATTTACCGCTGCACTGTTGACACGGATCCCCATCCCAGATGGCTATCGCTGAAACTCGGCCGGACCGAGGACGCCTGTCTGAGCTGGCTTTCTCAGCAAAGAGAAGTTTGGGCTGTAATCCTCCTGAAATTGCTCTGAGTGCGGAGCCACTAATCGAGTTTAGAAAATTTCCTTTTCTCCCCTAGGCTTAGTTTTGCATGAGCATTTTAAGCTCCTTTTAGAAAAGTTGATGTGGTGGAGAAATTAAATACCTATCTTACTTAGGAAGATATTTGTTTAGGAGATAAGCTCGACCCTGACCTACCTCTTCCTCCAAACAAAACACAAACACCTATTTTTTAGCTGGTAAATGTTAATTAATTTTCCAGAAAATGATTGCATTCTCCCCTCAGCTTCCAAAGAGCCCAGTGGTTACCATTGCTCCATGCTAAGGATAATACAATCCACAGCTTTCCTGGCTGGGCAGCTCCAAAATCTTTGAGCAGCTTTCTCCTTTCTAGGGAACTTGAAAATAAATGAGTGTCTTTTGTTATTTTGTTGTGGTCTGTGTCGGCTTTGTTCAACCCCACAAGGGATTTAAATGCTTTGTTGGGGCATTATGAAGAAAAGATCTGCCTTCCTATTTGCTCTGGTTTTATTTTTACTATTGGTTTAATTTTTTTTCTTTATAAACCCAAGAGCTGAATTGAATCTGGGCAAAACAATGACAGGCGTTGGTAAGAATAAAAAAGTCAGTTTGTATGAACACATGGAATTAGTTGAGCGGTATATTTATTTATTTTTATTTCCCATGTCCTTGGTTTTATTTTTATTGATAAGTCTTCTTGCAGTGGTGTGATTTTTGGCTTGAATGCAGTTTGTCATAGCTACTAGTCTGCAAGGCTATACAGCTGCCTCTGCTTCTTCCACCCATATTACTCCTGATGTTTGTTGACTTTCTGACTTGGGTCAGTGTCCATAAAAAAATCTCTGTGGTTTATTTATTTGCTTACCTTAAGCCCTGAGCTTTAATGGGAATGCCTATGGGAAAGGAAGACTTCTCTAGTACACAAATATTTACTTGGTAACCTTAGTTAAATGGAGTATTCATTACACTTATTTTAAGACTAGTAGCAATAAAGTGTCTGTAATTGTAATGTTTCTGTAAATGGATAATTACAGTGCTCTGATTTGGTAACTCTAAGTAGGAACATTATATCCCTACTTGTCATAATTGCTAACTGAATACAGCAAAGAAAAAGTTGTACAAATAGAGAGAAGTACACGTGCAGGCGTGGGAGCTTGGCCTCAAGGTCCCCTTTTACTTTCAGTGTGGGTTTTAGAGTGGAGAAGGATCAGGGATAGAAGCTTGGGCTGAGGTGCTCCTGCTCTCCCAGGATCACGGGTGGACATTGCTGGATGAATCCTGCAGTTAAATTGCTCCTGTGTACCCGAATATAATGCAGGGTACAGTGTTTGGCAGTGCAGTGCATTTTGTAGTCTGAAGAGTCAAGCGATATTTTCCATTTTAAGGCAGCGTATGGACACTCTATAAAAGTCACTTTTTCCTGTAAGGAAGGGGGAATAGCAGAGCCATAGAAACAGTGGTCGCTGCAGGAATTCCTCTACTCTCTGTGGCAGAAGGCTCCAAATGGAGTGTGGGGTTTTGGAGGCACAGCTCACCCAAACCGCTGCCTTGTAACTTCCTCTCTAATCCCCAAATCACTGCTATTGTGCCAGACAGCACACAGAGAAACCCCCAGGAAAGGCCAGTCCTGCATAATCCTTGGAGTGAAGCAACAGGGTGATGCTGGCCAGGGGTAACATGACAAATTTATGTTTGATTTTCAGTTTGATTGTGTGTTATATTGTGACTTCCTGACTTCCCACAAAAACTATTAATTTTTCACAGATTTACTAGGTGCCAGGAGCTGTATAAATTTCCTGACTATCAGCTCCTAAAGTTACATTTCTGATTAATTAAAAGTTTCTCTGTTGAAATTAGAAAAGAAATTACGTTTTCACAGAATCAGGGCTTTTTCTGTTAGAACCAGACAATCCTCACAAGAAAACATGTAGAAATGCATAGCTGAAATTACCTAAACTTACACATACAGTTTAAACTACACATTTGCCCCAAAAGTAGTAGACTGATTCACAGTAAGTTAGTCAGGATTATCTTTTAACTGTTAATTTGGTATTTCATTACAGCCTGGGTGTTTCAACCCAGACCTTAATTGACAAACTGACTGGATTCTATTTTATGTGCATCAGTGAACAGGAAAAATGGAGAGCAGCTGGGAGAGCATTGTCTGTCAGGGGGTTTCCGGTTTAGACTAAAATATGCATTCTCTTTCT